CGATGGTGGACAGTGAAACATAGAGAATCAGTGAGAGAGTTAAAAATAAACTTGTCAACTAGTTTATTATCAAATGAAAAATTGAATGATGTATAACTAACTTGGAGTAGGTCAAGACAAAAGATACAAGTAAGATATTGTTTCACTGAACGATAATATTCTCACTCGTCGTATTGTGTGATCATGAAAATATGTCGTGACGTATAACTTATACGTGGGTGAAAGGTTTTGGAAGGAGAGGAAGGAACGAGAAGATGCAGGACGAATAGAGGGAAAAGGTAGGGGAGGAGGAAATAAGAGTGAAAAGGGGATGGGGGTGGAAGAGGGCGGAAAGGGGGGGGAGAGGGCAGGGGAGAGGGGAAGGAAGAAAAGTGGACGAAACCGAGGGAGGGGGATATAGATGATGAAACGGTGGGTGGGAGGAGAGAGGTAGAACGAGGTGGGGGAAAAAAAAGGTAAATGACGGAAAGGAAGAAGCACGGAGGAGAAGGAGTAGGAAAGGGAGAGAACATAGGAATAAAAAGGGAAAGGGGGAGAGGGGGGGAAAAAGAGGAAGGAGGGGGAAACCAAGGGAAAGGAAAAAAAAGAGGAGGAGGAGGAAAAGAGAGAAGAGGAAAAGGAGAAGCGAAGAAGGGAAGACGGAGACAAGGGAAGATAAAGGATAGGATAAAGAAATACAAAAGAGGGGGCGAGGGGAGGGGAGAAAAAGCAGAGAAAGGGAAGATAGAGAGGGGAAGAACGAGAAGGGGGGGGGGGTGGTGAGGAGAGCGGAGGCAACAGGCAGTGAGAAAAGGTGGCGAGAAAGATAATGAAAAAAGGGAGGGGGATGGGCAGGAAAGGAGAAAGGAGGGATGACACTCGGGAGAGGACTGAGGAAGGACTCCCCTAGGAGAGGGGAAGCGGTGTATGAGATAAGGGGAGAAAGAAGGTAAGAGGGGGGAGAAGGGTAACAGAGCGGTGGAAACCGAAGCAAGGGGAAAGAGGGGGGAAAAAAAGAGAAAAAAATGATAGATAGGGGAGGGAATACTAGGGTTATCAAGAGAAAGGGCAAGAAAATGAGGCCGAGTACGGTAGGCAGTGAATGTGAGAGTGGGGAAAGCAGGGGGGAAAACAAAGAGCAGGGAGAAATGGATGAGGACAAAAAAAACCTATAGGCGGGAAGAGGGGCAATAAAAGAGGGAGGGAATGAATGGGGAGGACAAGGTCACCCGAACAGAGAAAAAATGATGAAAAAAAAATAGGTGGAAAAAAGAGGAAAAAATAAAAGTGGAAACGAGTGGATTGAATAAGAATAATGAAGGGAACTGAAAGAATGCCAGACGGGAGGATATAGGAATAGTAGACAAAGAAGAGATAATTGACTGGCGTAAACACACTATTAAGGTGATGCAAGTCAAGAAATAGTGCACGTGAGAAAACCAAGACGACAGGTTATTTCCACCCCCTTTTCTCACTAAGTGGAGAATTGAGTTATAGTGTCAATAGGAAAAAAAGCATGACGTGTATAGCTTTTGTGTAGGGACCTAGATAAAACGTAGTGATATAAGCATTCAAATGGTCTACACAGTGTGGAGATCAGAAAAGAGGGGGAAATAGGTAGGGGAAAGTCATCTCACGGAGCGAGCTAGGTGATGCACAAGGACACAAGCACGGCAAATGAAGGTTGATGAGTTGTAAATGCACACTGCTGAAGGGTTTCAGTGTTTCCTGACCTTCAGTAGTAGTCTGACAGAAGTTAGACTGCAGTTAATCAGCAACAGCGCAGAATTTGCTAAGTACGTACATCAGTCCAAGTTGCAATACCACACTAACGCAGAGAGATGGAACTGTCAATTCAAATCGTATAATGATAGTATTAACAGTAGTGGGACAGATTAGAGATAGGAGATATAATTCAAGAAGTCGAGAAGTTATACTGTAGTGTGAAATGTAATCGAATATGGACATTTGAAACACCAAAGACAAAATTCTAAACTACTGTCGTACAAAGCGACTTGTTTAGAGTAATCAGTTTTGTTCGCAGATAGACTCCAACACTATGTACTTCTAATAATGTTTACGTAACTTATTTTTGTATGACAATTTAAAGTCACTGACAACTGGATTGAGTCATGTTGATAGGTGTAAACTACCTGGTTGGAGTTCGCGAGACGATAGTAATTGATGGTTGGAGACCTTGGATGACATGACTCAGAATCGTTTGCAATCGTGCAGGTGCATCCACTCTTTGTGTTCTTTCAAATTCTAACGTTCTGAATTCCTCATCATTTCTGTCTTTCGCTTTCTAAATTTATCTCACTGAATTATATTTCTCGAATCATATCTTTGAACCTTAATCTTCTCCATCGCTGCTAATACTTCTACTATCGCTACCATTATTGTATCTGAACTGACAGTGGCCTCTCTGTGCTAATGCAGTATGGTAACCTGGACTGATGTATGCACGAACGAAGTTCTACGTTGTAACTAACTGATAAATAGGAGTCAAATCCTGGCTCGCTAAATCGTATCCAGCAAGTTACAATGTATCCATTCATTCTTTGTTTTCTCTCGAATTCTAATCTTCATGATTCATAACCACCTTTATCTTTCTCTTTTTAAGTTAATTTTACTGAGTTATACTTCTTGAATAATATCTTCGAACCCTTATCTTTCTGATTACCGCTACTACCTCTACTACTATGGGATGCGAATCGACGATTGCGTCTCTGGGTTAATGTGGTATAGCAACTTGAACTAATATGTACGTACGTACGAAATTCAACGTTGTAATTGATTGACAGCATAATTGACAGATTACACTACTGAAGTGACTAGTTCTGACCAGACCAATTACTGATGCATGTAATCGATTTCCAGATAGAGGTACCTATCTCGGAATTAAATCTGTCAAGTACACACACCTACAATGTACTCAACGAAAATCCGTCAAATAACAATTAAAATCTGTTACGCCTGCACGTAAACACGTCATTTTTATATGCTTCAACTATTACGAGTTTACCTAGTCGGAAAACGAGAGCGAGGATCCAGGATCCGGCCACAAGATATGCTACTCAGATCCGATTATCCCAAACCCCATATTGAGTTTAATAAGAAGACTTGATATGAAGTAGAACCTGTATTCTACAAACATCCAGAAAGTAAGAGGTCCGAGTCCAGAAGTGAATCACGATCCCGGACTAGGGATCCGGGACCGGGTCTTGGTCCTGTTATAAAACGTTACAGATAATGAGTATTTATACATTTTGGTCGAATGAGAAACAGCATCGAATTCTGTGACATTGACAGTTAAGACGACCAATAGGAAGCAACATTTGAAGTGACAATGATAGTCATGACAACCAATAAGAAAGCACATTGGAGCACGTGACATTGATATCTAGGACGACCATAAAATTGACCATTAGGAATTAACCAATAGAAATTGAGCAATAATTCTCTTAGGATATTATTGGATGAATATCCTAACAAAATCACAAACAAGCAAATTTCCCGCCCCTTAATTATTTATTGTTTGAATCCATTTAATCATAATGTAATTGAAAAAAAAATTAACTTTGTTTTGTTTTGTTTTACTATGTATACACTTATATAATTTTAGGTTGATAATATATACAATTGTTTGGAATATTTAAAAGAGAAAAATATTCGAACATTGACTGCTGAACCGAGAATTGGTGCATCCGGTATAGTTGTTCTATTTCTACACCCTAAAGATACATGCAATGTACTGCATGAATTGGAACATGTTCCTCCGGAAAATCATCATACCGATTGATATACATTTATGTGTGTATGTATGTATGTATGTGTTGTAATGATTATTGTTATTATCATGAATACAATTTCGAAAAATTAATGTATTGAATTAAAGTATTGATGTTCAAAGTTTAACTAATAACTTATTCAGTTATGCTTATTTATACTTACTACTATTGGTGTGGTGGATACTGCTCACAACATGGTTGATATGTAGTATGTAGCGAAAGTACAGGGCGGTCGTTCCGTCCTGGTATGGGATTTATCAGCAGAGAGCATCCACGACTCCTGCTACTCACAGGATCCGTGTGAACGCTTAAGCTTTGAACTACTGGGTCGGTATCCAACGGTGTCTAACTCTGATCAATCTAAGAATTTTGTTCGAACTCACCTAATTGTCTTCGGTAGATACTGCCTACATTAGACAAGGTTGAACTCCACTGGTCATGTCTTCTCACTTGAACTCCGAGAATTTCCTCATGAAAGTAGTCACTAGTAAGCACACCGATGGATGCCGACCCAGCGGTCCAAGGGTTAGGTGTTCGAGCACAGGATAGAAGGTCCTGTGTCCGAATCCTACGAGTAGCAGGAGTAAGGGATGCACACTGCTGATGAGTCCTATACCAGGACGAAACGGAGTACAACCACAGTAATCCTCCTGCTGAATTACATCTTAGAAATTCTGTCTGCAGATAGTAATTGAAAAAGTTAGAAGTAAACTTAAAATTCTGTAGGAGTTTGACTCAAAAGCTGAGGACTCTTAATTTAACACTTATGGCCTACAATTATGCATTAATCAGTGGTCTATTTCATTACAGCTAAATTGATAGGAAGCAACTATCGGTAAGGGCTACGAAGTACATCATTAGTTCGGGATCAATGATTAATCAGTACAGATATTTATGTTATAGGTCAATTCCGTTCCAAGCAGCCTAATAATTACAATGTGATTGACAGTCAAATTGTACATCGTCCTCAATTTCGCAGATACGTTTCCCCTAACAAGTACTTAACACCATGTAAACGGAGTCTATAAGTTCTGTAAATAACAAAAAGCAATGTATTACGATACAATGTTACTTAAATCAGGGGAAACATTGTAACTTACTGAACAGGATTTAGCGACCCACGATTTGACTCATATTTTTCAGTCAGTCAGTCAGTTACAACGTAGAATTTCGTACGTACACACATCAGTTCAGGTTGCCATACTGCATTAGCACAGAGACGCCACTGTCAGTTCAGATACAATAATGGTAGAGATAGTAGAATTATTAGCAGTATTGGAGAAGATTAGGGTCCAAAGATATGATTCAAGAAGTATGATTCAATAAGTTCATAAAGAGAAAGACATAAACGAGGAATTCAGAGGGTTAGAATTTGAGAGCAAAATGAACGAACGCACCGGCGCCATTGTAAACAATTTTGAGCCATGTCGTTCGAAGTCTCTAACTATCGGTTTCTTTTGTCTCGCGGACGACAACCAAGTAACCTGCACCTACCAACATGACTCAGTCCACTTGTCGGTGATTTCATGGATTTCTGCCATGTTTTGGTTTGGCCGCTCCTAGCTTTCTTCCAACCTACTCCTACACCACAAAACATAGCTCGTCGAGGTAGTCGGTGGTTGCGCATTCGTAACACATGTCCAAACCATCTGAACTGATGGAGTTTCACTACGTCATCAATTGATCCTATCTGTACAAGTTCAATATCCTATGAACTAACATTTTCATTCAATTTCCGATTATTATTCTTGAGAGAACCCCGTTTATGAGACGAGGGTAATTAAAAGACCTATGAGGTTTATTTTGGATGAATTTATTTCATAGATCCAGTATGCAACAGACATAAAAAAAGGGCAGTGTAAAAGCAAAGAAGGCTAGTAGGCCAATTTCATCTGACGAAACATAAACATTTATAGTCCAGACAAGACTAAGCTAGACATGCGATAAATGAAGTAAGCAGTGCACATACACACAAATTAAGAACAACCAAGATTATGAGCGAATAATGAACAAGATCAAAGGATATGTGAGTAAAATGATCCGAGAAGGATGGATTGTATAGCCTGTCCAAAGGTTAGGACAAGTCACATGGGTTTAACATACTTATACACGATGAAGAATTGATATATGATGGTAATAACTACTAAGTGGAACATTGGTTTTTATTCTTATCCCTGTTACCCCTAATGGAGTACAGACCACCGACCAGCATTTTCCAACTTACTCTGTTCTGGGCCTTTCTTTCTAGTCCTATCCAATTTTTGTTCATTCTTCTCATGTCTGTCTCCATTTTTTCGACGTAATGTGTTTTTTGGTCTTGCGGATCGCAAGTGAGGGCTTGTCTAGTGATGCAGTTGGGTACTCTCCTCTATGTGTAGCCTATCCATTTCCAACGCTTATTCCTAATTTCTTCCTCTTCTGGAATCTGGTTTGTTCTCTATCATAGTAGGTTGTAACTGATGGTGTCTGACTAGCAGATCCGAAGTATTTTGCGTAAACTACTATTAATAAACAGTTGTATCTTCCAGGTGGCGACTTTCGTAGCTCTTCAAGTTTCCACCCCATACAGTGGGACTATCTTGACATATCTGTCTGCTACATAACTGTATACTATTAATTAAACAAACTCCATGTTCAACTAGTCAATGAATTATTCGCTTACACCCATAATGAATTGAAATCGGCAACTTCCAGTTTAATAAATCTATAAATCCACATGCTGAACTGACTTTGAACGAAAGATTTCATGGAAATTTTAACGTTATCAGTCGCATGTTACATAGAAGTAATTTACCTGAATGTTAAGGCAATAAAAGAACGGATGCACTAACAACGAGTTTTCGATTGTATATTTCTAGACTTCAGTCAACGCGGGAAACGTAAACCTAGTCAATAATCTCATAAATCATCGTTTGAGGGGTTCGCAGCCTCCCTCCTAAATCCTGTCACATGGCGATGCGTGCATAGCCACTGTCAGAGAATTCCCACTCATCATCGCCTTCTCACCACCAGGGTGTTGTCTACGAAATCGATAGGACTAAAAATGAATGTTAAGCACTCTAGCCAGGTCGATAGGTATGGAGGGTTCATGTAGGAAAGTTGGTCCACATTGGCTTCATGATCCTGAAAGAAAAAGTGGCATATGAACACACCACTGGTCACTGACCACCACCATGAGACTGCATCTCCTACCGTTGCTTCACTGAATGGTGGGTTAGACCCGTAAGTCAAAGGTTCAGTTTGGCCAACCCGGATAGTAGGTATCTCCGCCCAACCGTAAATTCAATAATTTATATGGTGCATAAACATTTTGATTTATTTTTTCCGGTTAGCGTTTTTTTGGCAAGTTAGTTTTTTGGCGGGATGGGGTCGCCAACCCTCCTCCTTTATCTGCGCTTGGGACCGGTAGTAGCCCCGAAGGTTCTACTGGCGGCATAAACACTTAGATGCCCATCCTTCGTACAAATGTTTGTGTTTAAATATAATGAAAAGAATATGACAACAATACATTTTTATCGATTGTTGACATTTCTTTTAAACCAGACAAAATTTTAATTTCAACTTGATACATGATCACAAAATTGCTATCTTACTTAAAACTTTTATACTAAGTACACTGGGTTTGACACGATGATCTGACGATGATTAATAAAGTACATAGCTTATAACTTATTAAAGAATTCAATGTAAATCTCGCTACATCTATTTCCGGTATGAACAATCAGATAGTATTGAAAGTGCGTTAAAATTAACAGTACAAATACATCATTTAGTAAAAAAAACGGTGAACCCACACTGTCAGTCAGGAGATAAAGCATGGATGCATCTGCGCCATTGTAAACGATTTTGAGCCATGTCATTCACGATCGCTAAGCATCAGTTACTATTGTCTCGCGGACCCCAACCAAGCAGTCTACATCTACCAACATGGCTCAGTCCACTTGTTAGTGACTTCATAGATTTGTGCCATGTTTTGGTTTGACCGCCCCTATCTTTATTGCAACCTACTCCTACCACCTCAGATAGCAACACACATCAAGGCAGTCGGTGGTCAGACATACGTAACACACATGTCTCAACAACCTCAACTGATGAAGTTTCACTAATTGACTAGCCATCTTTACTTAATACCCCTTTCCTAACAACAGCACTGCTTACTCGATGATCGGCTGGATATAAGAGCAATGCTTTGAAGACACCGACGATCGAATACTCTAGTAAGAACCTACGAATATGCTCTATTCTTAGTGACTATGTGAACCCTTACTAAATAACTTATTCAGACAGAGAGAGACACAACGAAATATTTTGATAATATCAAATGACAATTAGTCCCATTATTATACATCTAGAATAAGCATATTTGTATGCAAAGTGTACGTGATCAATGACAGCATCCGACATTTTCACAATTGCATAAAATCATTGACTAATTCACTTTTCGGCAGCTGAAGTATATATATATATATATATACATTTTTTTGAAACCATGAATCGATCAATGTTAGACCACCATTAGAAACCTGCAAGCACTGGACGGCCGTTTGGTCCTAGTATGGGACTCCTCAGAAGTGCGCATCCACGACCCCTGCACCCCGCAGGACTCGAACCCATGACCTTCAGTATTGTGCGCGAACGCCCCAACCGTTAGACCACTGAGCCGGTATCCAACGGTGTTAATGTCTAACTTGATCGAATTCACGGAGTTGCGCAACCTCATACAGTCTTCGGTAGACACTGTCTACACCCGAACAGGTTGAACTTCACTAGTCACGTCTTCCCACCGGAACTCGGAGAAAATTCCTCACGAAGCTAGTCACTAGTGAGCACAGGTAATTTGCATCACGGGGTTGTGAAGATTGTTAAGTTACACATTTTTGAAACCATGTATCGATCAATGTTAGACCACCATTAGAAACCTGGGTATATATATATATATATATATATATATATATATATATATCAAGTGTCTTTCAAAACTGACAAAGAGATAAATACGTAAAAAAAATTA